GGCTTGCCCTGCTCCGGCCGGGGGAGCGTGGCCACGGGGCTTTGGAGATCCGGCCAGGGGAGCGGGGCTGCTGGGCTTTGGAGCTCCAGCCCATGGAGCGGGGCTTGCCCGGCTCCGGCTGGGGGAGCGGGGCTGTGGGGCTTTGGAGCTCCGGCTGGGGGAGCGGTGCCGCGGGGCTTTGGAGCTCCGACCCGGGGAGCGGGGCCGCAGGCTTGCCACGCTCTGGCTGGGTGCGGGGCCCGAATCGGGGGAATTGGCCTAAAGCCAGCCCTGTCTGAGCTGAGATTTCCCAAGCACTGTAACCAAAACACTCTGTTTTGGGTAAAATATAAAACAGATTTATTAACTACAGAAAGATCGATTTTAAGTGATTATAAGTGGTAGGCACTAAAGGTTAGAGATAGTTACCAAGGAAAATAAAAGGTAAGCATGCAGTCTAAATCCTGAACCTTATTAGACTGAACAATATTTGGATCAGGCAGTTTTCTCACCCCTCTGGATGCTACAGGTTGGTTACAGTCCTTAATACACAGGCTTTCCTTTTAAGCCTGAGACTAGTCTCCTCAGTTCAAGTCTTTGTTTTCCCAGCGTTTGTGTTGCTTCCAGTGTAGGTGGGGGAGGATTAAGGTAAAAGCACAATGCCACTGTCCTTGATATTATATTCTTAGGCTATGTCTACACTTTGTACCTTACAGTGCCACAGCTCTTTGCCACAAGAGAGAGCTCTCCTGCCAGCAAAATAAAACCACCCCCAACGAGGGGCAGTAGCTTTCCCACCGACAAAGTGCTGTCCAAACTGGAGCTTTTTGTCATTAAAACTTTTTGTGTTTTTATCACACCCCTGACCGACAGAAGTTTTAACGACAAAAGTGCAATGAAAACATAGCTTTAGTCCATGTCCCTGCAAAGAAACTAGCCCAGGCATGCCAAGCGGAGTGCCCCAAGGGTCGGTCCTGGGGCTAGTTTTGTTCAATATCTTCATTAATGATCTGGAGGATGGCATGGATTGCACTCTCAGCAAGTTTGCAGATGACACTAAACTGGGAGGAGTGGTAGATATGCTGGAGGGTAGGGATAGGATGCAGAAGGACCTAGACAAATCAGAGGATTGGGCCAAAAAAAATCTGATGAGATTCAACAAGGACAAGTGTAGAGTCCTGCCCTTAGGATGGAAGAATCCCATGCACTGCTACAGACTAGGGACCAAGTGGCTAGGCAGCAGTTCTGCAGAAAAGGATCTATGGGTTACAGTGGACGAGAAGCTGAATATGAGTCAACAGTGTGCCCTTGTTGCCAAGAAGGCTAACGTCATTTTGGGCTGTATAAGTAGGAGCATTGCCAGCAGATCGAGGGACGTGATCATTCCCCTCTATTTGAGATTGGTGAGGCCTCATCTGGAGTACTGTGTCCAGTTTTGGGCCCCACACTACAAGAAGGATGTGGAAAAATTGGAAAGAGTCCAGCGGAGGGCAACAAAAATGATTAGGGGGCTGGAGCACATGACTTATGAGGAGAGGCTGAGGGAACTGGGCTTATTTAGTCTGCAGAAGAGAAGAATGAGGGGGGATTTGATAGCTGTTTTCAACTACCTGAAAGGGGGTTTCAAAGAGGATGGATCTAGACTGTTCTCAGTGGTACCAGATGAGAGAACAAGGAGTAATTGTCTCAAGTTGCAGTGGGGGAGGTTGAGATTGGATATTAGGAAAAACTTTTTCACTAGGACAGTGGTGAAGCACTGGAATGGGTTACTTAGGGAGGTGGTGGAATCTCCTTCCTTAGAGGTTTTTAAGGTCAGGTGTGACAAAGCCCTGGCTGGGATGATCTAGTTGGGGATTGGTCCTTCTTTGAGCAGGGGGTTGGACTAGATGACCTCCTGAGCTCCCTTCCAACCCTGATATTCTATGATGGGCCTTGTTGAGTCACAGGGTTGAACAATCCCCATTGTGTGGTGCTTCTCTTACAGAATTGTAAATCCCTTGTCTACAACTCCTCTGCTGATTAATGGTCGTTTAACGCCTGCCTGGGTGTGGATCACCTCCTTTATTGTCACTGAAGAACTAGCAAGGGACAACTCCCAAACTTACAACATATTTCAATAACAACCGTACAGCAAAATCTCATACTTTCATACACACTAATAATATACATATTTTGATGGAACAATGGGTTTCAGGAGATCATGACCTTTCCTATATATCTTACATGGCATACTTTGTACAAAACATATCATAATTACTGGTTTGAGGTACAGAGTGCCACAAGGTCTATCATGGGAAGTACAGTATTACAGCATGGATGTAACATAGAAGGAATGTATAATGGACTTGGAAGCCAGAACACATTCGCTTTTTTTTTTAAGCGAGAGAGAGATTTACCTTTATAGAAAGGCAACGTTCTAGGTTCTTTGAACCAAATTCTTCTCTCAGTTACACTGGTCCATTGACTTCAGTGCAGTTACTCTAGACCTGTGCTTGTGTGACCTGAGAGCAGAATTTGTCCATTTGTTGATTTTTCACAATTGAGAAGGATCAGCATTATTGGACCGTCTATTTTAAATGGATTGAGTTTGCATAGTCCAGAGATTATTTCATAAAATACAAATATTACAATCCCAGTGAATTAGGCAGATACTTGTCTTTGACTATTATATATAAATATTGTATGTTGTCTCTGATCAGTGCCCAGTGACTTAAAATGGCAGAGAAGGTCTGGGTGGGAACAGGAAAAGAGAAGGAGGAGACTAAGAGTCACGGTGACATGCAGTATTCCTGGGACAGGGAGAGCTGAGAGGCATGGGACATTCATAGGGCATCAGGATAAACTGTGAAAATTATTTGAAAGCTTTTGCTGCCTAGCACTGGCTTTCGTAGTGGATTTTTAAAATTAGCAAATCTAAGGGCTTGATCCAGAGCCACTGGGATTTGGAGCAGGCCCAAAATTCACAAACAGCAAGTTCAGTCCAGTGAAAATTATGTCACTCTACGTAGGCTAGACCAAAAATGAGAATAATATTTGGCTGTAACATAACACTTCTCAAATATCTTTCCTTCTCAGTTGAGTTACTTAATGAGCAGCATCGCATTCTAGAGGCCAGGCTGGCCCCTGTGAGCAGAGAAATCACAGATAATCGTGCTCGTACACGAGAAGAGCTGGAGAGCATTTACCGAAAGATTGTTAGCTATGTTCTGCTACGCTCTGGCCTCGGATCCCCTACAGACATCAAGGTTGTTAGGGAGGCAACAGGTCAGTAACCAGTCAAAGTATCTGATACTGGGCATCCCTTGTGGGAAAATTCTGCTCTGACACAATGTAAATCTGGAATAATTTTATTGACTTCAGTAGAGTTTCCTGGTGTGAAACCGGTGTGAGTTGGGAATCAGGCTGTCTGACTCTTTCATTAAAACGTCCAATTGCCCAGACACTAGTAAATATTGTAAATTGTGGCAGCTTTAAAAATATTTGTTACTAATAGTCTGAATTTTAGATAAATCATTTCTATGGCATAAAATAGCTTGATAGCATATCAGCCTGTCTGCTTTGTTATTTGCTCGTCTCCAACAATAGGTGTGGTAAAATTATTAATTTGTGAGCGCCAAAGCATCTCTCCAAATCTAGAATACACTGCTATTTTCACAACTAGCCATAAGGAGGAGTTAGTTTTGTTTCCCTAGTATTTTCAGTTTCATTCTTATACCTGCTGTTATTTTTTAAATCTTTTCAGCTGCCCTGCAGAGTGTGTTTCCCCAGACAGAGCTGGGTGTTTTTCTCTCTCTCAGTAAGAAGGACAAAGAGCGACAACTGAAAGAACTTACCATGATTGTCACAGGAATTCGGTTATTCAACAAGGACTGTGGGAAAGGAGGAGAAGGCATTGATGACTGTAGGTATATTACTAAATTAAAATTATGAGCCCTAAGCCAGACTCTTCTTGCCTCTAGCCTTATGACTTCACGCTACTCAAGATGAGCAGGATTTGGCCCAGTGTCAGTAAGCCTGAAGGAAAAACAAACTATTAGAGGAATGAATTGCATAATGTTTAAGGCCAATCAATGCAAATGTCAAAATGGTACTGTCAAAATATTTACAGTAGAGCATACCTTTAATCTAATATTGCATGAGATATTAGAAATCCATGGGACAGAAAATACATAAATTCTGATAATTTTGGATAATTTCTCCCAATTCTTCTTGAATACTCAAAAATCTCTTAAGTCTTGAGCCCTTCAGGTTGTTTAGATAACTATAACAATGTAAATTGATGCACTGGAATCTTTTTAAGTGTGCAGCCAGATAGCCCAAAATAGTAAGCCCAAAGAGATGGCTAAACTTCCTTGTTGCTCTTATTTTTGACTCCCTCCTTAAAATATAGAGTCATAGAGTTTAAAGCCAGAAGGGACCACTAGATCATCTAGTATGACCTCCTGTATATCGCAGGTCACCACCACCACCCAGCACCTGCACACTAAATCCAACAACAGAAATGACACCAAACTAAATGAGACCCACAGGAGACTCAACTGTTATGTGCCACGCGCAGAGAATAGGCAGGACCAATGTGCACCAGTGCAGGAAGCCCCTGCAGTGGCAGGGAAATGATTAAATGATAGAGACCCAGATAATTCTGGCAAGGAAGTGACCAACATCCACACGCTGCAGAGAAGGCAAAAAAACCCGAAGGTCACTGCTGATCTGATGTGGGAAAAAATTCTTTCCTGGCCCCATATATAGTGATCAGTTAGACCCTGAGTATATGAGCAAGAACCAGCCAGCCAAGCATCTGAGAGAGAGAATGCTCAGTGCCACCTCATAGCCTTGGCCTACTCAGTGCCCCATCTCCAGTTGTTGCTATCCCTGATGCTTCAAAAGAAGGGGATTTAAAAAAAAAAAAACTCCCTTGCGGGGGCGAAGGAGGTGGGGGGAGGGGATCCCTTCTTGACCCCTGCTGGTGACCAACTGAAGCATGAGCTTTAGGGGGACATAAGCCAGAAGTGAGCCCCATGTCTGTTGAGCCCTGCAACCCACAAACAACCAATGCTATTAAATATTTCATTGCTAAATGTATCAGAATTATTATTTAAATGGCTGTTCAATGGAAATAAGATTGCAATATATATGATATATTGTAATCTACTAGTTTAATTGTATTTTCATATAGAGCAGGGATCGGCAACCTTTGGCATGTGGCCTGTCAGGGAAATCCGCTGGCAGGCCGGGACGGTTTGTTTACCTGCACCGTCCGCAGGTTCGGCCGAACGCAGCTCCCACTGGCTGCGATTCACCGTTCCAGGCCAATGGGGGCTGCGGGAAGCAGTGTGGGCCGAGGCATGTGCTGGCCGCCGCTTCCCACAGCCCCCATTGGCCTGGAACGGCGAATCACGGCCAGTGGGAGCTACGATCGGCCAAACCTGCGGATGCTGCAGGTAAACAAACCGTCCTGGCCCACCAGCGGATTTCCCTGACAGGCCGCGTGCCAAAGGTTGCCGATCCCTGATATAGAGGCAAAGACACTATATGTAAAATGTTCTAGTACCTCTGAATGAATGCTATACAAAAATAAATAATAACATGTATTGTGAGTTGTGAACATGCAAATAATCAACTATTCTACTGATTATTTGGATAATCGAGATAATACTTTGCACTTAGAGCACCTTTAATTCAGGGTTCTTAGTGCTCTTCACAAAGGTATATACAGCATTATTACCCCACTTTACAGATTGAAAAAGATTAATTAAAGAGATTTATGTGATTTTTCTAAAGATCATACAGCAAATTGTGGGCAGAGCTGACTGAATAGAAATGAACAGTTTTGCCACTCAGATCTTCTCTCTGAGTCTAATCATTACACCACACAGCCTCTGCTGCTTGCCTATGTTTTAATGTTAAGTCACATATAAAGAGGAATGCATAAAAAAACCCCACATGGCACAACTGTTTGCTCTGAGTGTGCAACTTACCTCTTTTGCATGCACAGATGTCTAGTTACACGTCCAAATGTAGAATGTAATGGATGCACGCCTGTTTATACTCTCCTTTGATAATGAGGCTCTAAGGAAGAAGTGTTAATTATAAAACCATCAGCTCAAAGATTTTGGACTCCCATTGTGCAGCTTATGGAATTTTGTGGGGGGGTTGTAATGCGCTGTGTCCAGTAAGAGCAAAAATAGTTCATTTTAATAAGCAATATTATATTTTTCTCTCTTTCTGGGCTTATATAGACCCATTACTGTACTATGTGAGCGTCTCATAAATGTGAATTAATTCATTCCCATAACACCTTTATGAGGCAGGGAAGTATTATTATTATCATCCCAGTTTCACAGATGGAGAAACTGAGGCACATAAGTGATTTACCTAAAGTCACACAGAAAATTTTGGAAGAGCCCAAAATTGAACCAAGACCGTCTGAAAAGCTAATTTTCCATAATCCTAGACTATACTGTAGCATTTTCCTCACAGAAAAGTTGTCATTTTTAAGAACCATTTGACCAGCAGTGTACGTAATGGTTGGGTCTTGTAAACAAACTTTGGAAATGTGTGCTGTCTCAGAATAAGAGCTTACACTCCGAAATCTGTTGGAGGATTCTTCTGATCGAAGTATTGAAACTAAAATATTAGCTATCTAGCATGATTACCATGATGTGTTTCTATATCTGTTACCTTCCTATGCATCTCATACTAAATCTGTATAAATAGTACCAGCTATTCTGAATGAAGCCATTCCAGCAGCCACGCAGCCTATTGATGCAGAGCTTCGTGCCTCCCAAGATCTGGCATACCGCTACACAGCTGTCTTGGAAATGATGTGTGAGAGCCCACACAGAAATATAGAAGCTAGATTATCTATGTTAAAGGAAGCACTGTTCAATGTGAGACAACATGAAGCCTTCCTCTGCATCATTCTGGTGAGATATCACATTATATTTTATGGATTCTTTAGGATATCTTAATATCAGTGTAAATTGCATTCTACAAAGTAAAATAGGGGTATATGTTTGAGGAAAGAAATCCTGGTGCTGTGTTTGAGCTGTGCAGCTAGAATGATATATTAAAAGTTCACGCCTCAGGGATTCAGCAAGCCACCTGCAGGGGTCAGGGATGGACACTGCTGGAGATGGGACATTGGATGGGGAGGGCCAGGGCTATGAATTGGCACCGAGCATTCTCCGTCTCAGGCACTTAGCTGGCTGTTCTTGCTCAGATGTTCACGGTCTAGCTGTTTGTCATGTGTGAGGTCAGGAAGAAATTTCCCCCCATGTCAGATTAGCAGTGATCTTCGGGGGGTTTCGCCTTCCTTTGCAGCATGTGGGTATGGGTCACTTTCCAGGAATATCTGAGTATATCTCACTTAATAATTTCCCTGCCATTGCGGGGGCCTCCTGTTCTCTGCATGTGGCATATACTAGTCTAGTCTCCTGAGGGTTTTAATACATTGCTCTGATTTCAGTTGTTGGGTTTAGTGGGTGGGTGGATGCTGGATGGTGTTGAGGGCTTATGATCTACAGGAGGTCAAACTAGATGATCTAATGGTCCTTCTGGCTGTAAAATTCTGACTCTATTTAGAAGTTAGGTTGCATGCCACTCCTTAAAATATAACTTCCCCAAAAGAGGCAGAATGCAAGTACTCAAATAGCTTCTGCTAGCTATTTATTTTTCTGTGACTGTCACACTCCTTACCTGAGGTATGTTCTCTTTCCAGTCTGATGTGATCACGTGTGCACAAGAAGTTGAAATGATGGACAAGCAGTTTGCAGCACAAATAGAGCAATTAAAAAACACTGTTCAAGCAAAGACTGCTGTACCTACATCACAAGTTTTTGTAAGCATTTGAAATGCAAAAGTATTATTTTCTGAACAGAAGCAAATTAGAAAAATACTTTTATTGTCTACAATACTAACATGATACAGTATTTATGCTGCATTATCATGTGACATGGTTCACATAAATTTCATGTTGAATTAGGAAAAAAGATCTTATTTTCTGTGTCTGTCTAATAGCAGTGTTCCACTCAGGCAGTGTTCCACAGACACAGCTACCTTGACATCTATTCATTTGCTTAAAAAAAAGTTAAAAGAAGTTTGTTATTACACCTGCCCTGAGTTGTCTTCTCAATAATTGTGGTTTTACAAACATATTTTCCTATTTTTTTTACATTTTCGTTTTCTTCCCAGTTGTTTTGCGAAAGACATAAAAAGCAGGGAAAACTGACTAGGTGAACAGAGAAAATGATTATGCCAAAAGTGCTGTTAAATGCATAGAATAGCACTAAAAATAGATTTTCTCTATCCTTTTTCTTTATAGTAGCCTTAAATATTACTTTTAACAATAGTAGGTAAAAGTATTCAGAGATGAGAGTTTTAAGTTAATGTTGCTTCACTATTGTATTATGTTGGAATAGCCTTGGCTCAGAGTCTTCTATCCATATTATTTTGAAACTAGGGCTGTGCAAACCTCCACATGGTCAGTTCTTATTTGGGTTCTTATTTTTAGCTGGGAAGATACGTAATTAAATAGTCACTATGTTGTCCACTTTCTGTCATAATTAATGATAATAAAATTTTGGAAGGGATCTTAAACCTCATGCTTCATGGCTTAAGTAAATCTCTAACCGTTAGAGAGCCTCATGAGACCTAATATGGGGGACAGATTATCCCACATCTACCTTCTCTAGGGTTCTTATACCTTCCTCGGAAGCATCTGGTGCTGCCCACTTCAAAGAGAGGATACTGGACTAGATGCCTCTTGGGTCTGATCCAATGTAGCTATTTCTAGGTGCCTGTTGATCTTACAAATACTGTCCTTTTAGCAGACACCCCTTTCTTCTATCCTGCTACCCAGAGCAATTATTTCCCTTTGTCTTCTCTCTCGCTGTACTGTTCATTTTTATTACAAGGGCCAAAAACATACTTGTCACTTTACAAGCAAACAAGAAGGCACATCATCCCTGTCCTAAGGAGTTTACCATAGATTTCCTTTCTTGAATGGCTTCTCTTTACCAGGTTATTTGCTTGTTTTCTTCACCTCTGTTAGCAACAGAATATGTACAAGATACTTGATTCCATCTGTGCTCTTGCAGGTAGAACTTTCCCCATCACAAGACCACTTAATTCTACTTGTCTTCAAATTGCTGCAGAGAAGTTGTATTGTGTAAGAGCACCAGGAGATTATTTTATAATTTAGCATTTGTAGCACAGGGCCTTGACTGAGAATGTAGCAGACAAGCATTTTAGAGTATACAGTAGGCTCACTCATTTTCCAACAATTGAGCTAAAGATGGTTATGATGCTATTTACAGCAAAAATTATTTTGCTGCCATTCCTCTGTTTTAGTTTCTTGTGTCCATAGCATTTCATGATAGTGATGCTGATGAACAACAGAGCTAACTCCCATACCAATTCTTATCCTGGCTTCATTAACATGAATGCTAATGTGCTAGGATGAATTTTAAGTTCCTTGAATGTATTCCTGATGTTGGGGGAGCCCTTTTCTACTGTGCTAAGATCTGAAAACTTGAAGATGGCTGTGTTAACATTCAAAATCTATTCAGCATAGTCAGGAATGTAATTAATTTTTTGCTGGCCATTTCCTCAGTGATTTCAGATATGTTACAACAGGCCCATTTTCTGCCACTGTCTTTGAAATCTGTATCTGTACTAGACTGTTTTGGGACTGAGGGAAAATGAGAGGAACAAAGGCTGAAATTTGTCTATGCCTAGATCTGTTTGTGTTTCTTTTTATAGTTAACCTGAATATAGGAATTTCTTCTTTATTGCCTTCCTCTGCCTATCTTCTCTTTTTGCATTTATATTATTATATTTGTGGGGAGGAGGCGAGACTCTTTTCCAATGTAATTCAGAAAATCGCCTCCAATGTTTTCCCAAAATGTTGTTTTATTACTTTTAAAGTACATTTAAATGATTTCTAGGATTTGGGCTTGATCTTGCAAACCCTCCACTGGGATTTCTGAGTGCAGAGAGCATGCAGGATTGGGCCCTTTGCATTTAACAGTTGTATTTGTGAGTATTGTTTACAGTATTTGTTTAATTTTACAGACAAAGCAAATGTAGATTTCAGGTCTTTCTTATTATTTTTTAGCCTATCTTTCTAGCACTATCTAACCTCTGGACGAGCTTTCAGGATGAGATATTGCTGCTGAGTTTCCTGACTAATTTGACAGTCAGTCTACAGCAGTTCTTGGGAATCCATGCACAACTCTTTCCTGATGATGTGATGGAGTCGCTTCTCGAAGGAGTGACTGTGAAAAGTGATGAGCAAAGGATAAAGGAAACCATAGGTACTGAAATTTATCACATTTCCTTTTTCCCGTTTGAGTCCTTGTATGATTTTGTGACTTAAATCCTCTTTCTAAAAAGTGCAACATTCCTATCTAAAGAAGGACCTGACCCTGCAAATCTTTACTGACATAGGGGTCCTTACCCAATAGTCCTGTTGAGGGCAACAGAATTTGTAGGTGCTCAGGACCACATAGGAGCACTTAATGCTTTACAGAACTGAACTCTTACTTTCTTGATGAAAACATGCTTTACATATAATTAGTACACATCTTCTGAAAACTGAGACGAAAACAATGCTTGGACACCAATATCTGCTCCCTGGTATAGTGCTACTGTTTCTTCTACATTATCAGTGTGCTGCTATACCTGGGACTGCTGCTGTTCCCCATGAAGTCAATGGACACTTTGCCACTAACTTCTGTAGGTGTGAGATCAGACCTTTTTCATCTAAGGCCCTGTCAATGCTGTAGTTGAAATTTTGCTAGAAACACTCTTGGGAAGAGCATGTGAGATGGAATTCAGATGCAATTTTTAAAGTTACTCCTATGGCATAAGCTACTAAATCGTTCTTTATGTTAAATTTGTAAACACCTTGACATATCTTCATATATTTTTCCATAATACTGACCAAAATGGGATCTGATCCCTACTGGAGCAACTGGGTGCTATCTTAAACAAACTAGGGAAATACAACCTAGATGGAGCTGCTGTAAGGTGGGTGCATAACTGGTTGGAAAAACATTCCTAGAGGTAGTTATCAGTGGTTCACAGTCAAGCTGGAAGTGCATATTGAGTGGGGTCCCATAGGGATCAGTTCTGGGTCCAGTTCTGTTCAATATCTTCATCAGTGATTCTGATAATGGTATAGAGAATACACTTCTAAAGTTTGCAGATGATACCAAGTTGGGAGGGGTTGCTTTGGAGGATAGAATTAAAATTCAAAATGATCTGGACAAACTGGAGAGATGGTCTGCAGTAAATAGGATGAAATTCCATAAGGACATATGCAAAGTACTCCACTCAGGAAAGAACAATCAGTTGCACACATACAAAATGGGAAATGACTGCCAACGAAGGAGTACTGCAAAAAGGAGTCCGGGGCTCATGGTGGATCACAAGCTAAATATGTGTCAACAGTGTAACATTGTTGCAAAAAAAGCAAATATTATTCTGGAATGTATTAGCAGGAGTGTTGTAAGTAAGACATGAGAAGTAATTCTTCCGCTCTACTCCACGCTGATTAGGCCTCAGCTGGAGTATTGTGTCCAGTTCTGGGCGCCATATTTCAGGAAAGATAGGGACAAATTGGAGAAAGTCCAGAGAAGAGCAACAAAAATGATTGAAGGCATGACTTATGAGGGAAGAGTGAAAAAATTGGGTTTGTTTAGTCTGGAGAAGAGAAGACTGAGAGGGGACATGATAATATTTCCAAGTATATAAAAGGTTGTTACAAAGAGCAGTGAGAAAAATTGTTCTCATTAATCTCTGAGGATAGGACAAGAAGCAATGGGCTTAAATTATAGCAAGAGTGGTTTAGGTTGGACATTAGGAAAAATTTCCTAAATGTCAGGGTGGTTAAGCACTGAAATAAATTGCCTATGGAGGTTGTGGAATCTCTGTCATTGGAGATTTTTAAGAGCAGGTTAGACAAACACCTGACTGAGATGGTGTAGATAATACTAAGTCCTGCTATGAGTGCAAGGGCCTGGACTAGATGACCTCTTGAGGTCTCTTCCAGTCCTACAATTCTATGATAATATAAACAATAAATACTAAAAAGTGTCTGCAATATAGGCAGGGCCAAGCAGAGGGGGGGCCAGGAGGGCCATTTGGCCTGGGCCTGAAGCTCAAAGGGGGCCTCAGATTTAGACACTTGTTCATTTTTTGGCATTTGATAAGTTTCTAAACTTGTTTTTATGCGCATCCCTATCGGACCAAAATGTGACACATTCTCTCAGCTTAGAGCTGCAAATTTAAGCAAATAAAAGATGTGATTTGGTAAAAGACATAATTTTTTTGTTAACTGATATAGATTTTGTCATATTAACGAGTTAAAAATGTTCATAAATATTAATAAAAGTATATTGGTTCTGATGGCACAAGATTAGACTGTGATGAACATGTCCTCTCAGATCAGCTGGTTATATAAACAAACCACTACTACTGGCTGGTGCTGGATCAATTGCATGTTGAAAGGTAGAGAATTGTTACATTTTAGTGTCTTTATAGTTTTACGTCTAGTTGATTAAGGAATTATTTATGTGTGAGAATTCCTCATTATTATCTTCATGTGGTAGCTAAAAGAGGTGACTGTTTGGTTGACTGAGCCTAGCTTGGTAGCTTGGCCATCATCATAGGCTTTCATAGTCTATAGGCCCAGAGTCAAGGTGAAAATTGGTGAGGACAATCTTGTACGGTGAGTTTCGTGAGGACACACATTTGAAATTTCTCTCTGTCTGTATCCGTGTCTGTGTGTACTATATATATGTCATCCCTTTGTCTTCAGCTTAGCCTGTTATATTATACCTTGCGTGCTTGAGTTTTGATTCCGTGATAAGGATAATAATCTGTCTGACTGTTTCATTTTGTGTTCTTAATTAGTATTCCTTCGTTTTAAGTCTTTTCAGCATTTGTGTACATGTTTACAGTAGAAGATTTCAAGTGCAGATAAGCTACTTATTTACAGCAGAATATTTCAAGTGTGGATAGGCTACATACTGACCAGATGGATCACTATGAAGACGAGATTTGGAAGTGGTGCAAGCAAGAGACAGTGAGAACAACTGAGTGAAGCAGCAGCAAAGAGCTCAAAGCCAAGAACTTCATTTCTCAAACCACTGGAAAACGCACCTTACCCAACAAACAACGCTACAGATAATGAAAACTCAGCAACTGCAACAGGTGATATTTCAATGCCAATACCTGAACATGAGGACAGTAGTCAAGAAGGAGATGTGCCAGCAGTAACAGATGCAGCAGAAGATCCTGTGTGTGATCAAGAAACTCAACAGCAACAGGAAGAAGTAGATCTTATGCAGCAAGAGCAATTAATGAGTACAGTACTACAGGTTTGACTGTGACTGATATTGGAATTATTGACAAGAGCAATGCTGCCCAAATGCAATCTTTTCTTCAAATTAGTTGTTTTGAAATTCCAAGTAACATTCCACGAGATGCTGATAATCATGCTTTCCCTACTCATCTGCTGACAAAAACTCTTCCAAACAGTGAGACCTGCACAAGAGACTGTTTTTCCATACTCCAGCATAACCAGTCTCTGTACTGTGGACCCTGCTTCATTTTGAACAAAAGTGCTACAAATGCATCAGTTCTCTCTGATCAATCAGGGTGGAGCATCAACAGAGGTTGGAGGAAGTTGAAAGACCGAAGACCATCACATGAGAGTTCAATGTCACACAAAGAAAACTATGTTGCACAGAAATCAGCCAATAGGATAGCATCAGCTGAAAGTTGCATGAAGGCTGAGAATTTACTCTTGACTGAACTCTCTACAGAAATTAATAACTGGAAAAAACTTCTTGAGCGCATCCTAAATGTCATCCTTTTTCTTTCTGAGCGGGGATTGGCTTTCTTTGGTTCCAGTCAATGTATTGGTGATTGTGCAAATGGAAATTTTCTAGGCATAGTTGAGCTCCTCAGCAGATATGACCCACTTTTATCAGAGCATGTTAAACATGTTCGAGAATCGCAAGAGAGTCAAAAGAGCATGCAAGTCCATTATCTCTCCACACGCATACAAAACGAGTTTATTGAGCTATGTGGGTCATTGGTACAAACAACAATTCTTGATGAGATTTGAAATGCCAAGTATTTTTCAATCATTGTTGATGCCACTCCAGATTGTTCTCACAAGGAACAGACTACTATGGTTATTCGATATGTTAAGATTGTAGACAGCTCAAAAAATTCAACTGAAGAAAGGTTTATTTTGTTTGATAATTACACAAGAAAAACTGGAAAAGAAATTGCTGCTCGAGTACTAGCAATTCTAGAAGATATTAAGTTAGATTTTCAAATCTGCATTGGTCAAGCCTATGACTATGGATCGAATATGGCGGGGAAGTACAAAGGTGTACAAGCAGTTCTGCTTGAGCATAATTCAAACTGTATTTTCTCCAGCTGTGGAAACCACACACTAAACTTTGTAGGTGTTGACTGTGTTGAATCATGCAAGGAGGCAATTACTTACTTTGGAACTGATCAGCAAATGTACAATCTCTTCAGTAGCAGTCCACTACTGCTGGAAAGGTGGGAAATTCTGAAGCAATATCTTCCTGTTTCACTGCATGGGATGTCCAAAACTAGATGGTCTGCACGGATTCATGGTGTTCAACCAGTTGTGCAGCATTTGAATTCAGTGAGAAAGGCTTTAAATGAGCTTGAATTTCTCAATCTCACTGCACAGGCTGGAACTGAACTTCAGTCTATTCAGAAGCACATGTCCAAATTTGAAAGCAGTCTGATGTCATCTTTGTGGATGAAGCTACCTACAATGATCCACCAAACTAATCTGGTAATTGAAGCACAAGCAATAAATTAAATTAATAGAGATATCATATCTCCTAGAATTGGAAGGGACCTTGAAGGTCATCGAGTCCAGTCCCCTGCCTTCACTAGCAGGACCAAGTACTGATTTTGCCCCAGATCCTTAGGTGGCCCCCTCAAGGATTGAACTCACAAACCTGGGTTTAGCAGGCCAATGCTCAAACCACTGAGCTATCCCTACACTTGTTATTGAGAGGGATAACATTGAAAGTCTTATCAATGACATTCAACAGATTCATGAACAATGGGATGCAATCCTGACTGAATCCAAATTAGTAGCACAGAATATTGGAATTTCATCTGAGTTCTCCATCAGTTGCAACTTACCTACTGAATCTGGTGCCAAGCAGCATTATAGGGTCAATGTCTTCCTTGTCATCATTGGCTCTATTCAATCAGGTCTGCGACCAATTCGTATCCTTTTTGGGTTTCTTTGGCAGTTCAACAGACTGAGTAATGAAGATCTACTTTCTGCAACTGAACAATTTCAGCACCAGTACAACAAAGAAATTTCAAAAGATCTCAGTGACGAGGTCATCTTCCTCAAACGAATATATTCCACAAACTTTAATTTGGATTGCAAGCCAAAGGAATTGCTTCGAGAAATACTCGAACTTAGACTCTCTGGGGTGTTTCCTAATATCACAATTGCATTGCGTATTTTTGGCAGTTTGCCTGCATCAGTGGCTTCAGGTGAACGCACCTTCAACCTGTTGAAGCAGGTAAAGAACTATCACTGTTCAACTATGAAACGAGCATTTGAATGGGCTCGCCATGCTTAATATCAACTGTGACATTGCATAAAAGCTAGATTTTTCCTCAATAATTAGTGCATTTGCACAGAAAAATGCTAGAAAAGCATTTGTTAAATAAAAAAATATTCAAATTATGTCTCAGTCTTTTTTTGGTGCCTTATTTTGTTTTCATGTGTCGTCATTTTTTATTATGGCTAGAGGCCTCAAAAGCTGGAAGTAGCCTGGACCTCTGAGAGGGCCTGAGTGTAGGTATGAATTTATATAATAAAGTACAGCTTTAACTATTATTAAAGTATGTATATAAATGCATCCAATTAAAATGCCACATTGATTTTAGAAATGCCCTGCACTTTAATAATTCAGGATTCCTTGTGTTTTGTTTTGTCTGTTTATGCCTACTGAAACCTCTGAGATGGAAAAAAAACCAGTTTAATTAATTAGGGATATTAGGTTATCAAAAATATTTGTTAGGGAGATGTCCCTACCAATTAACCAAGTTCTGCTGTAGTGGATTTGAAACAAATGGGTGAGTTTAAAACAATGGCTGAAATTATTAGATTTTACTTTCTGTTTGTGGCCATGTGCTTCCAAGGAAAAGCTAAACTGCTAGAATGTCTGCAGGCAGTCTACCACCAAAAAATAAGTAGGCCGTGGTGCATTCCCGCTCCTGTGGAAACCAGTGGAGCTGTGGGCGTTCAACACTTCAGGCCATAATGTGTTAAAGCATGATTGAACTCCCTTTGAGATTCCCATTAAATCACATTTTAGACATCATGTATTTTATTGTCATCTTTCCTTTGCCAAATTCCCTTTCAGGAATAAAAGTAAATATTTCTGATTTCAAGGAACAAGAGTGGCTTTTTCCAGAAACCACGGCTAATTTTGATCAGTTGTTAATCCAGTACCGTGGATTTTGTGCTCACACACTTGCTGAAAAAGATGGCCTCCTCCTCCCAGGTGTGTTCTGTATTATTATTAATATTATTATGTGTATTATTGGTGCCTAGAGTTAAATTTTTTCTTAATGTAAATATGCATATATTAGCAAAAAAATACATTTAAAGACATATACACTGTGTATTTCCTTCTGTGCCAGCATGCAAACTAGAATAATTCATTGAACACTTTTGCACTTTATATCTAACATATAGTTCTACTAATCCTCTGTGTTTTTGAGTGTTTGTGAAATTATAATTAGTGTTCATATAACCATATGTTCTGGACTTGGCTATGTTGTTCATATGTTTTGTCCCAGCAACCTCTCCAGCTCAAATATGTCTCTACCTAAGTTCCCTCTAAGCTGCGCAGCCATGCCTATTGAGCACTGCGCAGGCGCTCAGGGCTGTGGCAGGGAGAGATGCCTCTCCACAAGCCCCGGACCTGCCATGATACCGCTCCCCCAACCCAGCCCAGCCCCGGACCTGCTGTGGCCGAGGGACAATGCCCCGGCCCCAACCCAGCCTGGCCGGGACCTGCTGCGGCCGGGGCAGAGGCGCTTCTCCCCCCAGCCCAGGTGCTGCTGCAGGGAGAGAGAGCTGGGGGGAGGAGTCCTCTCTCTCTACCGTAGCCCCGTGGAGCCCCACTGGACCCCAAACCCCTCTCCCCAGCCCCACCCCAGATCCCGCACCACCAGCTAGAGCCCTCACCCTCTGCCCCAGCCCTGAGCCTCTCCCACACTCTGAACCCCTCGGCCTCAGCCTGCCACATGAATTTTGTTATGTGTATCAGTATGGAGGCGATGTGTCATATATCACTTCCATATTGGTGCACATAACAAAATTCATTCCACACATGGGTGGGAAAAATTAGCGGGAACACTGGCTCTACTTGCTCATCTTTTTTGGCGATACTTAGTAATCCTGTCATTTCTTTGGTATAACTGATGGTTTGGTTTTGTTTTTTGGAGGGGAATGGGGGCGAAACACCACTGTTTGTAGCAGTAAAAACAGGACTTCTTTAATGGTAGTTCAACTTCCTGACCTACTTAGTATTGTCCTTTGGCATAAAAGAGTAATTAAATTACAATCAATCTTCCACAGGAAATGTGCAGGACAGACATTTGCAGATATGTGCAATATAAATGAAAGGGAATATATTTTATATTAACTTGATAGATATGGATGATAAAGTCTGAGTAGTCTTTCTGGTTGTAATTTAAGCATGATCCAGACTATAATAATATCTAGCTCTTATATAGCACTTTTCACCAGTAAATTTCAAAGTACTTTACAAAGGTGGTAGATATCGTTATCCTTCCTGGAGAACTGGGTGTAAGATGGTCATCATCAGTTCTGATGGTTTGTAGAAGCTGACTTTCACTGTATCTGATTCTACTGTGTAATGGAGAGGATTTCTTAATTTTGAAAAAGGTTTAGATTGTAGGTTCTATTACAATTCCAAAAGAGATGGAGTAAGAGCTGGTTGAGGGAAATGTATACTCATGATTATAGGAGCCTTGTGTGTTGAATGATTTATTGGTTCACTCTTGTTTTTGCTTTATTTGTTAGGAAATCCTGCTATTGGAATTTTGAAACATAAGGAGAAGTATTACACTTTCAGTTCCAAGGAATCAGCATATGTTTTTTCCAAAACCCCAGATATATTCATTCAGTTGATTGGAGAAAAAGCAAAAGAATGTGCTGAACTTATTCAGCTGCTTGAGCTTCATCATCAGTTTGAATCCCTTGCTCCTTATTCACAGGTATTCACTGCTTGCATCCCCTGTTGAATAGGTGATGTGACACTGACCTATCTGTCCTTTTGATTCACTGAAAAGTGTTGGGACCTGGCCAATCTGGAATTAGTGGGACACAGAAAAAATTTGTTTTATGGAGACAATACTTTGTCAGAGGACATATGTAGTCCTCTACCCAGCAAAGAGAGTACAGTATGTGGGGATCCTGCAGATCCTACTCTTTGGTGTACAGATGAAGGGCATCACTTCTGGGAAATTGTTCACCCTTAAACTCTATATGTGGGAGGGGCAGGGCCACGGAAATTCAGTGGTGGCAGCATTCTCCCATCTTTAGTCCAGAGAAATTCTGTGGATGATGTTTCCTGTTCCCCCTTTGTAGGAATCGTTTGTGTAAGGGAGGAGAGGGCCCTGTGTAATTAAGCATTGTAGATGAATATGAGAAACTTGGTCAGCACAAGTTGGAGACCCTTTGTCCATCCCTGTATATTGTAATAGGGAAAAAATGTCATTTGGGGAGAAAAATCATAGACGATATTTTTAAAATTATATTTTTAGCGTATGGGTGTTAACATTGGTGTCCTGGACAAATTCCAACTTGGACAACTGCATTCTGCTTTTTAAATTCCCCCTGCAGTTTCAGTTAGATATTGTATTCTTCATTTAATTGTCCTGTGTATTGTTAAAAAGGCTTTACCCCAGAGGTAGCTACTCTTCAGCAACCCCTGCATAAATTTTGTACGGTAACTCCTCACATAAAGTCGTCCCGGTTAACGTTGTTTCGTTATGTTGCTGATCGATTAGAGAACATGATCGTTTAAAAGTTGTGCAATGCTCCCTGTAGTAGGGCAGCTGCCCCACTCCAAGGTAAAAGGGATTAAGAGCAGCTGAGGGAGGCTGGCAAGGTAGTTGGCCCTAGGTGTGGCTGGCTTAATTAGGCCACAGCTGGCCTGGATAAAAGGGCTGTGGGGCCAGGAGACAGAGAAATCTCACTCTAGCACTGGAGTGAGAAGGGCTAGCTGTCTGGGAGCAAGATACCTGAAGCGGAGCAGTGCTGGGGAAGGGCAAAGGGAGCTCGGGAGCTCCAGCCTGGTAAACCCCCAGGCTGCAGGCCTTGGTGAAGGCCTCCAAAATGTTCTGGGGCTGCAGAGGGGTAGCTCGGGGATAGGCCAAGGCAGCAGGTCCTACCCCCTTGCCTATGATGAGTGGCCATTATAGACTTCAGTCTGCCGCAGGGAAGTAGCCACTGAGGCAAGGTGGGTTTAGAGCGTTGGGGGTTCCCCTGGAAGAGGAGACTCAGAGCGTAGGGGTACTGCTGGGGCAGAACCCCGAAGTAAAGGGGCCACCGAAGTCCAGGAGGGGCATAGGGGGCCTGAGGCAGGTGAGCCACCGGCCAGCAGAGGGCACTCTAAGGCTGGAAAAGAGCTAATTCCCAGGACGATCAGCAGGAGGTTTCGCACCGGTGAGTCTGCTCACTGCTACAGTCCCTTATAACGTTGTTTGGCAGCTGACCGCTTTGTCCACTGCTTGCAGAAAGAGCAGCCCATTGGAGCTAGCTGGTGGGGGCTTGGAACCAGGGTGGACCGGCAGCCCCCCATCAGCTCCCCACTCCCCTAAGTTTCCTGTGCAGCAGCCACCCAGCAGGCTATTAATTGCGGGGCAGTTCAGCTGGCCCTCCCCCCACTGCCATGTGCTGCTCCTGCCCTCTGTCTTGGAGCTGCTCCCAGGAGCATCCTGCTTGCTGTGCAGAGGTGAGGGGAAGAGAGGTGCTAATGTCAGGCTGTCCCTCTCCTCCCGCTCCTGCCCCCTGCTCCTGTACCTTATCTCCACAGAGCAATGGGGGAACATGACAGGGCTCAGGACCAAGGGAGCTTGCTGGCAGCAGCTGCTGTCTCAACTTGCTGATCTACTTAAAAAGGCAATGTACTTAGAGTGGGGTCAGCGTACTTAAAGGTGTAATGTGCATCTCTCTCTCACACACATGGTGTGTGTCTCTGTCCGCTATGCTGTCTTCCCTCCCTTCATTCATGCTGCCTTGTAGAGTGTGAGGCTACATTAACAACAATGTGTTAACCCTTGAGGGCTTAGCTGAGTGCTAGTTCATGACTTCACCACCTCAACCAAGCTTCACAATCATCATTGCTGTGTACAATATTAAATTGTTTGTTTAAAACTTATACTGTGTGTGTGTGTGTGTGTGTATATAGATATATACATATACATATATATATATACACACACACACACACACACACACACAGTCTTTTGTCTGGCGAAAAAAATTTCCTTGGAACCTAACCCCCCCTATTTACATTAATTCTTATGGGGAAATTGGATTCGCTTAACATCGTTTAGCTTAAAGTAGCATTTTTTCAGGAATATAACTACAATGTTAAGCAAGGAGTTAGTGTATCTTAATTTAAATCTGTAAAGTATTTTAGGATCCTCTGGAATGACAGATACTATATGAACATAAGATGATTATTAACCATTAGTTACTAATAGACTTTTATATTTTGTATTCAAGTCTTTAAAGTTTTCAGTATTCTCAGATTCCTGTTTGTTTAAAAAAATACTGTGCTGTGTCTACATGTCATTTTTTCCCCCCTGTGACTTATAGATTCTCCTAATAAATACCTATATCTTCATCCAGGTCAGAAGTGGAGACAAACGTTCAATGAAACCAATTACCAAATGCAACAGCAGTACTCAGACTGACACCCATATATTGCCTCCAACTATTGTGAAGTCCTATGAGTGGAATGAATGGGAACTGAGGAGAAAAGCCATAAAATTGGTTTGTATCAGTATTATCTGGAAGATTAAGCCTTTCAAAATTTGGCATGTTTGGCAGGAGGTCAGACTAGATTATCATAATTATTATCCCTTCTGGCTTTAAAATCTATGAAGAGACAAGTTCCTGTAATCATTTCTGTTTGATCTTATTTCACTCTATTTCATATTCCTGTTTCAAAAGCTTCCCCCCCACAAAAAACTTTTTTTATTTGAGCAATATTTTCCTGGCTAGATTCATTGATTCTAAAGTCTCAGGCACTCTTTTAAGTTGTAAGATTCTTTCAAATAATAGTGAATTTTTAGGGTGCTACTCTGTACTAAAACAGCTTAACTAATATAGACAGCTTAACCATTTGGAAGTAATGTGCTATATCTTACCTTTGTAGTACAATGATACAAAAAGGGCTAAGATGATAAAAAAAAAGTTACTGCAAATGAAGCTGTATACATTAATAAATATTATACCACCAAGTCACAAGGAAAAAAAGTTGTAGTAACTGTAGTGAAGTGTGGGTAAAAACACCACTAAGAGATTATAAAACTACAGAGAGTGAGTTGAAGAAAATATGCTGCATGATTGTATAGATGAGAGAATCTGTAATAACGGTCCCTTGTATATGAAAATGTGTATGGAGCTTTTTCTTGCCTTTTGAAGTCTGATTTCAGACATCCAATGAAATGTGTATATTTTATAACACTGAGTTGAGTATTCTGGCCAATAACAAATTAACTGACTGCCAGGTTTGCTCACAGCAACATTAACTTACTATCAATTTGTGGGCCTGATCCTGCAATGAGTTCTGCTTGAGTAGACCTATGTGGAAGTCACTGAAGGATTGGGGCCTTAATTTGTGTCATAGTAAATTATTTTTCACTTTGTTCCAACTCTTTCAATGTTGACTTACATCATCCCGTTTGCAATTTTTGTGTGCATATTTTGCACAGGACCAATTCTGAGCGTAAGATACCACAGCAACAAAATAAATACATTTTGTGTTGGATGTAGATTGTTGAGGCAGGTTTTTGAGGTATTGTTACTTAATCTGTAGAAGTATATGGCCTGCTGTTAGAAATTGCAGGTATGCCCTTAATGTTTTGGCTGTAAATTTAAAAAAACACACCCCAAACAATAAGTGCCTTTCAAATAAGATTATTTTTTCTTACAGTGTGCACTGCATACTATGGTTTCAATTGTTAGATTCATGCAACATTGGGGTAATATTCTCATTTTAAATCTACACAGAAGATCTCATCTCTGCTAATCTGCTCATTCTACCTGCCATGGATTCTGCATAAGTCATGTAGGGAGAGCAGACTATCAGAGTAAAGATCCACTTTGCGGAACTGAAAATGGAATTTTATCCTTCTTGATTATCCATCAGTTTGTGTAATTTGTTACTTTTCTCCCTCTTAGCATTATCCTTGATGACAACTATAAGACCTTTGTTTCCCAAATTGTATTTTGGGACCTTTGTTTTAAATTGTATTTTAAAATATAGAAACATCAACTCAAATCCATTAGAGCAGTAGACACAGACACTACCTCCTCATTATATGTTACCCTGTTACAGAGGGTTTTTAGAACCCAAAGCAGCGGTAGCTTAATTGTTTTATTTTAGGCAGTGTTAGGAATAAATTATTGGGAACACAGCTGAGAGATTGATATAAGTAAGCATGTTTTTATTTAAAACTACTGTTTATTAGTTTTAAGCACATATAGACATAAGCAATAGGTTTAGAACATTTTAAATAATTATTTAAAATTCGAGATGGTGTTGAGTAATTAGTAGCAGGTCAGCGATGGCCGATTGCTTTTTTGCCAAGAGTAAGGTGTTAGGAAAAAGTTTTTCAGGATAGCTTTAGAAAACCGTTTTAAAGTACTTTTTTTATTTAGTTTTCTTATAATTAATTTTTAATTTTAATAAATTATTAATAATATATTTTAATACTTTTAGTTATAATAAGCTTTTATATTAAACACACTTAAACTTAAGGTTTTTAATTATTTATTTTTAGTTTTATAATTGGTTGGGGTTTTTTTTATTTTGATTAGCAGAAACTACAAGCCTGAAGCTGGTATTTGACTTTGTCTTCAAAAGGCCTGCTTGTTCAAATTAACCCTTAACTATGTGTTGTTTTATTTTATTAATTTATGGTGGTTGAATGCACACAATATGGCTGCAGTTAGCTTGATCAAATTCTGGGGTAACATACCGCCTAATTCCAGGGTAATATCCCCCTCCTTAAAGGTCGTATATTTTTAATATTAAGACCTATACATATGTGTAACAAGTTTAGTGGGTTACTCGTGAAGGCCCAGCATTAGGCTCAAGGCTTTTAGCTGAGACCGAGCAAGAATTTTCTCGCTGGCACCTTTAGGTTTTACCACTGATTTTGTCTTGTTAAAGAACAAACCTTATGTACTTATTTTTGGGGAGTATCCATGGTCTAGAGAACCACTGGCTTTGCAATCAATCAATTTTTTTTTTTTAATTTAGCATGTTAGTACTAGAAATATAACAACCAACGCCAGCTGAAACATTAGAATTACCACAATTGGATATAAAGCCAGATTAAGAATCCTGCTTGCGGTGGGGGAACATCCCAACAATGTCTTTTACCAATTGTGTTTTGAATTTTTGCTAGCCCTTTTAATTACATGTTTAATTTTGTTAGTAGCATGGTGGATGGTAATCATGACCTTGCACGCCTTTTGCCTAGCAACTTGCAAATAATTTTTAAATAGGGATGCTTAAATAACATTTTTATAACAATTAAATTTATTTTCATGGGTTCAGACATTGCATTAGAGCATAAGGTGTATTTTATATTTAATTGTATTTTAATTTAGACATTTGAAATTTAAAATTACATTTTTAATAGCCACAATTTGATAAAAACATTTATTTTTATGGTAATTATGGATTATATTGTCCACATAATTAATTGTGAGCACAGGGCATTAACTTTTAAGGCATATGTAACTATTACCCACAAAAACAATTACAGATTTATTTGCAAAGGGATTTATGGCAAAATGGCATTATTTGTGTTATTTTAAAATATATATGTTGTTGCCATAAAGCATTTTTTGTACATTTATATTTAATTTTAGATTTTTTTAAACAGGGTTTTAATTTTATTGTTTTTTATGTGGGGGCTTTTTATGGCCCATATTTTATAATTTATGGGTTTTATTACTATTTGATTAATATTGAGGCCTACGGCCATAATGGGAAAACTTTTATATTTGCTTTTGACATTAATAAAACAAATGTAGTATTGTTTAAAAAATGTTTGATTTATAAGTAAAATTTATTATTATTATTTTATTTATTAGGATTGCAATTTTTTTTTAGTTTGGGTGGAACTTTTTTAAATAATACTTTTAATTTTTAATGAGAGTATATCCTACCATTTCAAATTTATTTTTTACCATATTGATAATTTACATTTGTAGTTGCATGCATGCCAGGGCCAAGGAAAAATTACCTGAGGGCAAAAACAGCCTGCAGGAGGTGGAGGTGGTCCTTTTATGGGGATTGTTTAATTCCAAAATAACGACCCATGTTATGGTTTGTTTAATACAGTCCGACAATAACAACTTTATGCCAAGTGATTTATATCCTTTTACATCAATGCTAATGTTAACAGTTCACTGGAAGGGGGAACAAACAGACAGTTGATTTTTAAAGTCCTGGCTCTACAGTATGAAGAATTCACAAAAAGCTTTTTTGTAGCCTTTTCCACAAAGGTTGCCACAGCAGATTGGTGCTAAAATGACATATTCCACAGTTATGGATTTGTGAAACCTGGGGGCCGTACATGTAAAAGAAAAAAATATGCATCATTGTAATCTATAACACTTCCATTTCAGAGAAAAATTATATTTAAGAATAAAATCTTTCTTATTCTGATTCTGTTTTCATATTTAGGCTAATTTGCGTAGGAAATTAACTCACTCAGTGCAGACTAATCTCAGTCATTTGAGAAGAGATAACTCCACCCAAGTGTATCTGCTAAAGGATTTTGGCACACAGACTAAACTTGACAACTCTAGCAACGTACCCAGGCCACAGATTTTCCTGGCAGGTCTCCGAGGAGGATCAACCCCAGCTACTTGTATGGTCAAAGTGAACTTAACCAGAGCAGTTGATGAAACCTAAATGAAGTTTAAAAGGAGACATACTGAAGTATAGTACATGTTTTAAAAAAAATCCAAATAGATTTCTGAAGTAATGTATAGTAAACTGAATTCTATGTCCATTGATTCAAAGAGTTGTTGTTACACTCCATGGTTTCTGTTAGGAACAGCTAAATGGCATTAAGTGATAGTGATTATAAAAAGCCTGAAACATCCAATTAAAAAAAAGTAGAATCCAGGCATGGCTGTAAATTCTGAATTAAACTGGCATTTCTATGGAAGTGTGTGTTTTTGGAATCCTTTAATGTTTTAATACCCTGAGTGCACATCATAACACTACCCTTAAGAGCCTTGTCTTTGAAGTTTGATTATATTGTAAGAAGAATAACTGTTATGAGTTAGAGACACCAAGGGCTAGATTCACAAAGGGACTTAGGCGTTGCAACACTATGCCTGGGTGCCTTGTTGCCTAGTGGAATTCTCAGCTCTGAGTTAGATTTCTGCCCAGGCTCCCCAGGCGTTGTATGGGGAGAGTTAGGTGCCAAAGAAAGAGATTCTCAGAAGCCAGTAAGCCGAGCCATCTAAATTAGCCAGAAATGAAATGCAGAGGGAAGGGAGAGGATGTAGGTCTAGATTCTCAGAGGTATTTAGGTCCCTAGCTCCCATTGATAAGGGCCTTAGGTTCTGAACTGAAGCACCTCCCTCTGCTCTGGATTCTCAGCCATGACCTTTGGAGTTAGGCGACTAAACCAGGTCAGTCCTTTTTCACGAAAAATGAAAGGAAAAGATCCTGTTACTCCATGGTAGCCCAGTGGTTAGGGCACTGAGCTGGGAGACTCGGATTCAAATCCTTCCTTTGCCTGATTTGGAGCAGAAACTTGAACCAAGGTGGGCCAGGTGAGTGCCCTGACTATCAGGCTATTGGGTATTCTGGGCTGGGCCTCTCTCCAGCTCTTCTGGTGAAGCTTTTTCACTTTGTATAAATAATTAAATATTCACCAGGCTAGAGCGAGAGACTGACTCCATCACCCAGTTGTTAGGGCACTCACCTGGGATGTCAGAGAATGACATTCAAATCTGTGCTCCAAATTGGGCAGAGTGGGGATTTAAACCTGCATCTTCCATATCCCTGGTGAGTGCCCTCACCACTGGGCTATTGGGTATTCTGAGAAACACTTTCTCTCTAGCTGCCTTTTTTGTATGTGCTGTGCCCAAACCTGTAGATGTGCAGAGGAAGCTCTAGTTTGAGAATTTTGCTCTTGGGCCACCAAAGCTTTCTCTTGCACTAGGGCTCCAAGCTGCTCAATAGCAGTGCGGTGGTGTCAGGACATAGGTGGTTTTGTGCATGCCCACTGTCAGAAATTTAAGTGCTGTGGAGATGTAGGTGCCTATGGGATTAGGTGGCAGCTGAGCAGTGATATTGAGAATGTTAGTGTTATCTAAATGGTAGTTTTAGGTGACTAAAATGGCAGATAGGTGCCTAAGTGCCTTTGTAAATCTGACCCCAATCCTCCAATTCTTGCACAAACAAAACTCTCATTGACATGAAGTAATATTAACTAGAGGAAAATCATCTGAAACCTTTGTCTATAATCTTCCCTTTCTTGGTAGAATCACTGAGAATGAAATGATAAATTGGCTCCAGCAGTACCAGATCAGCCAGTGTGCTTGACAGAGAATCAGAGATGGTAGTGTGCACCCTGACAGCTATTACACCAATTTTCTAGGAATTCTAGCTTTCTAAGAGTTTTCTGTATTCAGTGACTAAGTAGTGGTGAGCAAACTAAAAATGACTAGATAGTTGTAGACTTCATTGTAGCCTTGCAAAATTCTACTTTCCTGGTAACTTTTTGATTTTTACATCCAAGTAAAATATCCTTTGGTTTTTTTTTTTCCCATCATGGTTAGGGCAGGCTAGTAGAATATGTGCCTGGTCTGGCAAATCAAACGCTCCTGGTAATTTTACAATTGAATGAAAATTTGTCTTTAATGTATGAGTCAAGATGCAACAACGTCTTAACAATGTATAAGGGTGAAGAAACAGAAAAACACTTCTCAAGAACGTTGGGGTTGATCGATGTTTAGCTCCTGTAAAATGTTGGGGTATGTGATTGTACAAAACCATGCTAAGCTTTTGCTCTATCCTTTTGTTCATGTGCTGCATTCAGCTCCATCTACAATGCTGGGCCATATAGGGAATAATCTTTTTAGAAATGTGTGATGCTGGCAGACCAGGTGCCAGCTCATGCCAAGGCCCCTAAGCCTCAAATGAACACTGACAAATGCATAAACTTTTTGAAATGCTTGTAGGATGCTGCATGTATTAATCTCACTTATATTTGTATTCCATTTTATATTATACTGAGTGTTTGCATTGCAACCCACTGTAACTGTGTAAATCACCAAACAGGAAAGCAGCATTAACTAATGTAAAATGCTGGCTTTCTACAGAAGGTGTTAGGTCCTGTCCACCAAATAAGCCATTGTGAAACATCAAAGAACAAAGACTTTGCATTCTTGTCCCTCCCCACCCCTACCCACCCCCATTAAGAGGAGACCTGCATATGAACTCATGCCATGAGTTTGAACTCTGGGAGCATAGGGGTTGACTAAAAAATTAGTGGGTGCTTAGCACCCACCAGCAGCCACCTTCCCCCTCCTGCCCACTGGCGGCCCCACCGATCAACTCTTCCCCCTCCCTCCCAGCACCTCCTGCCCGCTGCAGTCAGCTGTTCCACAGCGGGCAGGAGGTGCTGGGGGGGGGGAGGAGAGGGAGGAGCAGGGAAGGGGCACACTCCGGAGAGGGGGCAGAACTGGGCAGAAAGAGACGGCGGGGGTGGGGGCTTGGGAGAAGGGATGGGGCGGGGCCTGGGGCGGGAAGAGGCAGGGTAGGGGTCGGAGCTTGGGGATAGGGGTCAGGTGGAGGTGGGGCCTGGGGTGGAAAGGGGGGTTGAGCACCCCTAGGGCGTGGAAGAAGCCGGCACTTTTGTCTGGGAGGAAGGGAATAAAAATCCCTGACAAGAAGAAACTGGATCTCTATGCTACTTGGATTTTGGGAGGGCAAGTTTTCTAAGCATAAGGAAGGGATCCCCATCTGCTTTGCCTGTGTTAGCCATAGCAGACAGAGCTTGCATATTAAAGCAGCTTCTATTACCTTTTGGAGCCTAAGACAATAACTCATTTGTGTGTGTACCTTAATTGTTTTATCTTTGCAAATAGCTATAATTTTTTTGTCTTATTTAACAATTCTTTAGTCAGTTTATTATAGGCTTGCCTGCAACTGTTGTCTTTAGTATAAGATCTACAGTGCAACTGACCTGTGGTAAGTAGGTTGACCATACGTCCCTGTTTTGACCAGGACGGTCCCCTTTTTAAGCCCTGTCCTGGCTGTCCCAAGTTTTTTGGCAAAAGTGGGCATTTGTCCCATTTGCTCTTGCCAGCTTGATCAGTTGGGAGGAGCAAACAGAACAAATGCCCACTTTTGTCAAAAAAGTGGGGTGCAGAGGAATGTGTGGGGAGTGAGCAGTAATGCCAGCCCGGCACTGGGGGGGAGGCAGGGCTCGGGTGCGGGGCAGGCAGGGCTTGGGTAAGCAGTGACACCAACCCCAGCCTTGCACAGGCAGGCAGGGCTTGGGCGAGCAGCGTAGCCAGCCCTGCGTGGGAAGGGGGGGCAAGGCTTGGGCAAGCAGCTAGGGCAAGCCCTAGGGGAGGGTGGGAGGGCTCAGGTTAGTCCCATGCAGTGTCATGTTTTCCCTTTGGGAAATATAATCACCCTAGGGGTAAATGGCTGGTCTTTGGGGATTGGGAGTAACCTGAACATTGTGATTTTTGGAGTAAGGGACCATCTGTCAGAAAGGCAAGCTTCCCTAGGTTGCAAGATAAGAGGACTGTCTGTGACTCCACGGTTAGGCTGTTATAGTGCCTGAGAAGTTTACATTTCATACCTGGTTGGTGAAGCCTAAGTATAGAACTCACAACCAGTTTCGGGTTTGTGCCCTGCTTCTTGACGGTCTGCCTGAGGACGGCACTCATCGGGGCGGCTCTAGCTTTTTCTGCTGCCCCAAGCACGGCAGTCAGGCTGCCTTAGGCGGGAGGTCCGCTGGTCCCGCGGCTTTGGCGTACCCGCCGCTGAATCCGCGGGACCGGCGGACCTCCCGCAGGCATGCCGCTGAAGGCTGCCTGACTGCCGCCCTCGCAGGGACCGGCAGGGCGCCCCCCACGGCTTGCCGCCCAGGCACGCTGGTGCCTGGAGCCGCCGCTGGCACTCATGCTCTTTAGCCAGTCCAGAAAGCTTGACATAATGACTTGGAGGGATTCAAATAGCGGGGCCTAGAGAGCTCCTTAGTGTCCTTCAAATACAAGGTAATTAACTAGGCTGTTGCCACACAGACATGGATGCACTTAAAACCCATATTAACTCTCTTTCCACTTAACTAGATTGAAAGTTAGATCAAAGGTACCTTGCCTATGTTTTTAAAGAAGAATGGGGCAAACCCATGTGAGGCACTTAATAAAAAAAAAAAAAAAAGAAAAGAAAATGAAAAAACTGCCTGAGGGTGGAATAGCTTATGAATATATTCTCTCCTCTTTTCTTGCAGCCCCAAACCTCTTTTAGCCATTACCATAGTGTGCTTGTTTAAGGCTGGCTGTGCATGTTGCTTCCTTCTCTGTATGTTCTCATGTGTGCTTCTCCCCCACAAACTTAGCCAAAACAATACCCAGTGAAGCCCTCCGCCCAGTTAGCTCAAATCCTGGGTGGACTCTGATATGCCTTTGTGTTAAGTAGGGACTGCCATAAAGGCGATTAACTGTTTCTATTGTAAATGAAGGGTGACTGTTCCACCCACCAGCTTCAATGTTTTTCCCAACTCACAACGCTGCATATTTTATTTTTCTTTAATCTGTACAATGGTAAATTATCTGAGTCCTGATTTTCAGGATGCTGAGCACCTGCAGATCTCATTAACTTTAGTTGATGTTCAGCATCTCTGAAAACCAGTTACGTTATGCCTACATCGTCTGCCATTTTTATTTTAATGCTCAGTAACACTGCAGTCAAGAGACACTAGCAAATGAACAGGCACAAGAAGGGCCAAGACTAGAAGAAGATGGTAAATAAGTAGATTATAACTGTCAGGTTTACCTCAGGTGGTGTTGACGTATTAAAATGTCAGTCTCCAATTAACTCCTCTCACCTCCA